TCGCATTTTTAAGAGTTTTTCTATAAATAGTTTGACTATAAAACAAAGTGAATATAAAAGCTTCATTACAATTACAAAAAATTCAAGTATGCCAACTAAAAAGAGACACGTTTCCATCTACTAAATTCTTAGTACATTTTCAAAGGTCTCGCTTTGTGAAAATAGAGAAAGTATGCTTCACATTTCCCTATCTCTAAACCACAATGATGATGTGGAAAAATTCCAAAAATAACATAGGAAAGAATTAAATTTATGTTTTTCCCGAAAACCATTCACTTATTCGGCTTGAAACTGGATTAATCCAGTGAATGTGTGCGACTTTTTGGCGGAATTTGGTTGAGGAATGTTTTAACATTATAGTTTTTAATTTTATTTAATCAAAAATAGATAGAAATTTTGTAATTCTACATTTTTGTTGACACTATTTAGAGGAATCTTTTAACCTAATAGTTTTCAATTTTATTTAATCATAAATAAATAGGAATTTTTTAATACTATTTATCATCTTTAAAAAGCATTGTTTATATCCCTAGTTAATTCCTTTTAAATTAGTAATCAGTAATACCTAAACAAACATTACCGCAGGGCAATACCCTCCGTTGGCACAACTATTTAAGAAAGAACAAACAAGCATGAATATTCTCGGATTTCTATGATATCCTACACCTAATTCCCCAGCAACTAATGACATTCCCTCACCCGAGCACCGTGGAACCCACTGAAAGTGACTTTACTAATTACTCTTTATTTACTTTGTATTTAGAAACCGATCCCGCTGACAGCTGGGATGTGGACGACGCAGTGATCACGCCCGAGGACGAGGAGGTGGAGGATGCCGAGTTCACGGAGGGCGATGCCACGCCCAAGGTGTCCAAGAAGAAGGTGGTCAAGGTGGAGGAAAACAGAAGCAAGCGCGAGCACGTGAATGTTGTGTTCATTGGCCATGTTGGTGAGTATTTGACATAGCTCTGAAATCCTTGAGTATTAACATTGTGATCTTCCCTCGTTTAGATGCTGGCAAATCAACGATTGGCGGACAGATCATGTCGCTCACGGGCATGGTGGACAAGCGGACGCTGGAGAAGTACGAGCGGGAGGCTCGCGAGAAGTCGCGCGAGAGCTGGTACTTGTCTTGGGCGCTGGACACCAACCAGGAGGAGCGCGACAAGGGCAAGACTGTCGAGGTGGGACGCGCCTTCTTCGAGACGGACCGCAAGCACTTCACCATCCTCGACGCGCCCGGCCACAAGAGCTTCGTGCCGAACATGATCGGTGGAGCGGCGCAGGCCGATCTCGCAGTGCTGGTCATTTCGGCGCGAAAGGGTGAATTCGAGACGGGCTTCGACCGCGGCGGACAGACCCGGGAGCACGCCATGTTGGCCAAGACCGCCGGCGTGAAGCATCTGGTCGTTCTGGTCAACAAAATGGACGACCCCACGGTCAGTTGGGATCAGACGCGCTACAACGAATGCAAAGACAAGATACTACCATACCTCAAGAAGCTGGGCTTCAACCCGGCCAAGGACCTTACCTTTATGCCTTGCTCCGGCCTCAGCGGCTACGGCCTGAAGGACCAAGTCCCGGAGACGCTCTGCCCCTGGTACCGGGGGCCCGCCTTCATTCCGTTCATCGACGAGCTGCCCTCGCTCAACCGCAAGTCTGACGGCCCCTTCATCATGCCAATTGTGGATAAATACAAGGACATGGGCACCGTCGTGATGGGCAAGGTTGAGTCCGGAACGGCGCGCAAGGGCCAGAACCTGTTGGTGATGCCAAACAGAGTAAGTGCTTGCAGCTTGCGACTAGCTGACACTTGAATTGGTACTAATTTAACGTTTCTTTTAGACACAAGTTGCGGTAGACCAGTTGTTCTCCGACGACTTTGAAGTCACATCTGTTGGCCCCGGCGAGAACGTTAAGATCAAGCTGAAAGTAAGTGGGTTTTTAATCTACGTACGAAATTCTAGTAGAGAAAATGAATTTTAGAATATAATTTATTAATACATTATAGTTGTTTATTTATATTCATATTTATTTATGTTATGTTTATATAATTTGAGTCTTAAAAATTGAAAAATACTTAAGAAGGTTTTTAAATTATTTTCTAGTTTTAAAGACACCAACTTCCTAGAATTAAGCATTTTAAATATGTTTTTGTAATCCAAGTACACATTATTTTACCTCTATTTAACTCTAACTGTTCACAATTATTTTACAAACTTTTAGGGAATTGAGGAGGAGGATGTCTCGCCAGGTTTTGTGCTTTGCGACGCCGCTAATCCCATCAAGACAGGGAAAATCTTTGATGCTCAGGTCGTAATCTTAGAACACAAATCAATTATCTGTGCGGGTTACTCGGCTGTCATGCACATACACTGCGCTGCCGAAGAGGTCACAGTCAAGGTGAGTTTCCCATATAATACCCATTAACACAGACACTAAACGGCGTTTCTTTCTTAGGCCCTCATCTGTTTGGTCGACAAAAAGACTGGCGACAAATCAAAAACACGTCCACGGTTCGTTAAGCAGGATCAGGTTGCAATTATGCGAATCGAGTGCTCCGGAATGATTTGCCTTGAACAGTTTAAGCTATTCCCACAAATGGGCCGTTTCACGCTCAGAGATGAAAGTAAGTCTCGATGTCATATTGACCATTAAATCACTACTAACCTTTATCCCTAACTTTCAGACAAAACCATTGCCATCGGCAAGGTGCTGAAGGTGGTCGAATAAATTGAGCCAAGCTGAATTCGAGCGCCCGCCTTTCACTGCGATTTTTGAGATAGCATTGCACGCCCGACGAGAGAAAACAGCCACAGCAACAGCAACGCCACGCCACGCTTTCTTCACATTTGACAAATCCACAAAAACAGTACACACCCACGCTCGAGCTCTCACTCACATGGTTACTTTACTTTCTACCAACAATAGCGATTGATTATACATTAATTAGAGGAAGGTTGAACAGGAATCTGGTCGAAACGGAACGGCAATGTAGAGTGCATTATAAGAACGGGCAGGCGAAAAGTTAATTTACGACCCGGACGCACGGTCGGCGAGTTCAGAGATAGAAACAGAAATGCATTATATACGAAATATAAACTATATTATGTATAACTAAGCAGCAAATCGGAGGTAGCGAGCGCGAAACGAGATGAACTATTTATATATATATACACAACAAACCACTCAAACGTATATATAAAATAATGTATGCGAACGAGGGAGAGTTGGCGAGGAGCCGCGAAGATAACTGATAAGGCATTAATAGTTTCTTGAAATGATTTCGTTTGTTAAGCCCTGTCTCAAGGATACAGAGCATTGGTCGCCGTCGTCGTTTTTATTGGTTTACTACTTTTGTATAAACTGTAAGCATTAAATAGCGTACACAAACATGCCTAAATCGCGCGCCAGACGTGACATTTTTTAATACTAAAACTAAAGCTGCAAGCTACCCCATTTTTGTATTTGTACAAGCGAAAGCAAGTTCCCAACCCTCCTCCCCCATTCAGCTTCCTGTATGCGCCTTCAAATTGCAAATTTGTTAGTACCCAGCAAGATACAATACGATATTTCTGCTCTTCTTTTTTTACATGATATAATCTAAATGCTTTAATATAAGTTTAAGCTTAAAGAACATGGAGTAAAGTTGGTTTGATTCGTAAGCTCAAAATGAAAGTCTTTGAAATATGGAAAAACACGACGAAAAAGCATAACAGAGAAACAAACATTATCACTTGCGTAAACATCTACTTGTTAACTCTAATCTTAGTCCTCTGATGAACCCACTTTATTTTGCTGATTCAAAAAATATTTCATTTTTTATAATTTAGTTAATTGAAGAATTCGTGCGAGTTGAACACGAAGACCCACTTATGAAAAAATAAAATGCCTTTTGCTACTAAGCAGAAACAAAAACACAAAAGATCGAAAGTTTTTATTTTCTTTTACACCCCCATATTGTTTATTATGTACTCATTCAGATCCAAGACCAAGGCGGTTTCAAAACATTCACCCCCATTCTTCAGAATTTGTCTTCCCCCACATTATTTTAAATTCATTATTTGTTACAATTGAAAGTTGTTGCCCAAACCAACACAAGTAATTAAATAAGTAAATAAAATAATATCAATGAAGCACGTTAAGCGGTCCCCCAGTCTAAGTTAATTTAATTAACTGATACTTAAATCGAGGACATATTTAATGAAGGACCTAAACCTGCTTATAACGCTTTTCGCAGCCTCCTACGAATCGAACTCGAATGATAATTAATTCATATTATTGTAATAATACTAAGTGCGATATAATTGTTGACAACGCGGAAACTTATTTAAAATGTTTCACACATACACCCCCGACACTGACACTCAACCAAATCACACGCGAGGACAGAACGGAAGTCGAAAACTACGCCACTGAGGAATAGGAGCGATCGTAATAATAGAAATTATATAGACAAAACGGGAATATTTATACAAAAAACGAAATTCAAATGTATTATTATTATACATATACGTATGAAATGGAAAAAACAAACGATCTGCATAAATTTGAACATTTTTTATCAATAAAACAGAAATGAAAAATTAAAAAAAAAGATGAAGACCTACACGAAACAAATTCAGAGGTTTTATTTATGTCTGGACTGTAAAACAATGCAAAGGATGGCTGAGTTGGGTATTGCATTATATTTATACCCGTTACTCGAAGAATAAAACGGTATGATGTATTTGTTAGAAAATATGTAACAGGTAGAAGAAAGCGATCCGAAATATTTATATTTTTGATCAGGGATCTCGCGATTAAACTTTTCAATTTCTTTTAACTGCAAGGAAATCAGCAGTTCTGAATTATTATTGATTTTAAAGAAAGCAAAGACACCCGTGTAAATAAATTACATTTTTTAATTCGTCCTCCTTATTGAAAAGATAAACATATTTTTGGTTAAACATTTATATTTATATACATAGGTAATACCTATTAGGTATGTACATACAAATAAATTCTTTTAGTTTTTATTTATTAAACTAATTATGGTACAGTTAACTGAACTTAGCACGTAATAAAAATAATTAACAATTGTACACTGAAATATGACATAGGATAGTGCGAATCCAATAACGAAAATCCTATCGAAGAGCGGGTTTTGTACATATGGCTTTGGATTGTTGGCTTCGTCCGATCTTTCTCTTCTTTTGTTAACAGGAACTTACTCTAAAAATGTGCTTTGCTTTTATTAAATACTCGGAATTGGTGCGTATCATATGAATCTACTCCTTATAATTGAGTATCACGGATGGGTTGCCCTCTTAGTATTCTTCCTGGTCAGATTTCTTGGCCAGCAGCGGAGTAATGGGTTGGTCCCTTCTATTGGCCCGCTCCTCTTCTTTAGCCTCCTTGTCGCCATAAATGTCCAGAGTGCGTCCATAATACCAAACAAGGTAATCAAAGAAGAGTCCCATTAAAGTAAGCACTGAAATTGTAGAATTTGTTTAGTAATTAGATGTGAAAACTTTTTTGAAACCAAAATTTTCTTAAAACATTTAGCATAACTATTTTATCTTATTTAGTCTTTAATTTAAATTGAAGATTTAATTTTAATTAGAAACTAAAATAGTGAAAATCTAAGGAAGGTAAAAAATGTGTCTTAAAATTGGATGGAGACCAATCTTTCCTCACAACATTTTATTATTTCAAGAGCAAAAGTAATTGGTTTTGGAAATAGATTACCGTAGAATAAAATAAAACTTTATAAACTTACTGCATGACAAAAAGTTGAGGGAGTAACGGAAGCGGGTCTGATCGTACAACTGGCAGTTGCCATTGCCATTGCAGGTCTTCGTCCACACCAGACACGTGGAATCGATAAGGCGGCCGAACATGATGGGTCCGGGGATCAGGGCGAGCAAGCTGATCATCATCAGGGCCAGTCCCTGAGCGAAGGACTTGTCCTCGTGGGCCACGGCTCGGTAGTTTACCAGGACGTTGCCCACTCGACCGGACGAACCGAACCAGCTGACGATCATCGAGGTGATGGAGAAGGCCCAAAAGCTCCAGTTGCAGTTCTTTGTGCAGATACCCGGCCGGAGCACCGAATCGGAAGTGGATCTAGTGGTCCTGGACAGCAGCTCCTCCTCGAAGTCACCGTCGTCATTGAGCAGGGGCACACCGCCTAGATAGCCGTCGAAATCGGTGGTGCTATCCAGTTCCGGTTCTTGAGTGGGTAACAGTAGATTGAGCAGCCGCTGGGACGCACTGGTTGGAGGCTTATAATTGGCCATACAACTGCAATCCTCGTACAACTTGGAGGTGGCATTGTATGCGCGGCATCCCGCATGGCAGGCCGAGAAGAAGGTGGTGTCCGTCGGCTCGTGGCAAACGGGCGTGTAGGTGATTCCTTCGCAGGAGCAGTTTGAGTTGCAGGAACTAGTCAGGTTCAGCCTGTGGTAAAAAAAGGAGTACAAGTTATAGATGTGGAACAACATTTAGAAATTTTAAAAATAAATTTCTTATAATTTATTGAGTTCCGCTTTCTCGTCTGCAATTTAAATTTAAAGTTTAACTTTTGAAAGTGTATGGGAATTCAGAGTTTAAAGCCTACTTTAAACTTAACATGTGGATAAGAAAACCACCCTCAAAGTAAAATATTTAATATTAATATAAGATATTAATACATTTCAAAAAAAGTATTATACAAGTTTAAAAAAATTCTACTGGAGTAAATATAAATAGTAGCTTATCAAAACATTCTCTTTAAGATACTTACTGTCCCACGTGGGTCATGGAGAAGGTGTCTGGGCAGTAAAGGAAGGCATATGAGATCTGCCCCAAAATGGAGACCCCGCCAACGATTACGTTCCACATAAGCACCTTGCTCACGTGGGGCTTCTTCTTGGACAGCACCATACCGGAGCCAATCAAACCGATGACCATGCCCATAATGGAAATGGGACCAACGATCTAAAAAGAGTTTGGAAAGCCAAATTAAAATGTTTTTTTAAAAAATAAAGAACCTATTAGTAATAAACTCACAATGGTGGCACTCTGGGCATCCATGTGGAACTGCACCTCCATATATTTGGTGAGAAAAGTCATGAACCCGGAGGCACCCAGGATGTAGAAGACTCCCGAGATAATGTTGAAGATCAGCAGCTTGTTGCGAAGCAATCGCATGAGGGCGCGTGGGAAATCCTTGAGTTTCGGCAGCTCGGCGTTGGCCCCCGCAGCTGCTCCAATTGTGTCCAGAGCGGCGTTCGAGGAGAAGCGGCTGCTCAACGAAAGGTTCTCCTCCCGCTTGAGCTCCTCCTTCGTCTGACGCAGCGCCAGTGGCAAGTGGGAGTTGGTCCTTGGGGTGTCGTGGATCTTGGGTAGCTGCTTGGGAAAGAGGCCGATCAGGCCAGAGAACAAACACATCAATGTGCCCAGGATAACCCAGCCAAGCCACCAGGCTCCCAGCCATCGAGGATCCTTTCTGTCGATCAGAGGAGTCTTACTCGGATCGATAAAGGTATTCAGTGACAAGAAGCCTAAAATACGAAGGAAATGGAAGAGATATAAGAGATATAAAACAAGAGAGAACGCTATAGTCGGGTTGGTGTCCCGACTATCTAATACCCGTCACTCAGCTAAAGGGAGTGCGAACGCTGTGTCGGGTTGGTGTCCCGACTAATAATCGTAACTCAGCTAAAGGGAGTGCGAGGGAGATAGATATATAATTTTTGATTGCGTATAACTTTTTAATGAATGGTCCGATTTGAAAAATGTCTTCTACATTTCGATAGGTATAAATATACACAACAAAATTGCATTTATACTTCTCAGAAATCTTTAAAGATGTGGGCGCAGGACCCATTTTAAAATCGTTAGTGGGCGATTGTGGGCGTTAGAGGGGGCGTGGCGCTCGGCTAAAATAAACTTGCGCTGCGTAGGAAGCCAAAGAATATGTGTGGGAAATCTCAACCTTCTAGCTTTTGTAGTTTCTGAGATCTCAGCGTTCATACAGACGGACAGACGGACAGACGGACAGACGGACATGGCTAGATCGACTCGGCTAGTGACCCTGATCAAGAATATATATACTTTATGGGGTCGGAAACGCTTCCTTCTAGCTGTTACATACTTTTGCACGAATCTAGTATACCCCTTTTACTCTACGAGTAACGGGTATAACTATATTTCATAGCTTACCGAAAAAGAATCCCACGGCAGGACCAATCATCCTCAAGGCCATGGCCACGGCTAACATTAAAGGAGTGTTTGTCTTCTTGGCGTTGTCGTCGAGATACGTCTGACCCAGGGAGAAGTACATGGTGTTGCCCACACCCAGAACAAACTGAGAGACGAAGATTAGCACCAATGGCACGTAGGAGAAGAGATCGTCGCAGTCATCCTCCGTTTTGCCCGCTCCACAGAGTCGCTCGGTTTGGACAGAGGAGATATTCTACGGGAAGGTGCATTTCGTAAAAAAAGCTAGTAATAGATAATGGAAAGAGTAACCCACCAACAGGGGCTGACCCGCTTCAGATGTCCTATTCAGGAGGCTATCCTGGTACTCCTTGGTGAACTGCAGCACCTCGTGACCAGCCCCATAGATAAAGTGCGGCAGGACGAGAATGTAGCAGGACAGACCGCAGAAGACGATGCCCCAGGCGATCCAACGAGGACGATTCCGCTGACCACCGATATAGGACAGGATAAGGGACAGCATGATCTGCGAGATTTCATTGCCGCTGAGAATAATACCTGCGAATATTATGGCAAATTTAGTATTAAGTTAAATTAAATAATTATGTAATACCACTAGAAAGTTAATAAGATTTTTTTGAAGTAATTTAATTCTGTAAAGCTAAAAGATCATTATAGAATGAAACAAGATAGAAACAAGAGTCAAGAAAGCACATTTTTAAGCACCTTTGGTAATTTCTTAAATAATTTTAAATATTACTAAATAAATAAAATAATCATTGTTATATATTATTATATTAAACATGTTTATATTTTAACAAAATGATGTCTTGAAAATGTATGCTATAAGACAAAGATGCTAAATTCAATATATATTTATCTCTAAACATTACCTGTTGTTTGACTGGGAATCTTGAAGCGCTTCTCTATCGTCGTGAGGGTGACGATGAAGTACATGTAGGACATGGCCTGGATGGTGCCGAGCAGTCCGTAGACGCCCATGAACATCTTGGTGGTGGCGTACTTCTGCAGCCAGGCCGGATGCCAGTTGGCCATACCGCACAAGTAGTGCCCGGGCGGGACATTCGAGCCCCGACGCTTCACTTCCGTCATCTTCGATTCCGTGGCGCCTCCAACTGCGGGATGCTAGTGTCTTGTCTGTGCCAGTCAGCGAACCATCGATTTCGGTACGATTAGATTGCGGACTCGGCTTCCAGGTAGATAGTGTAATAGAGGAGTGATAGCAAACAGTCTGCAATGGACAGAGAAAAGGGACCGACCCTTGTAAATCAAGTTGCATTAATTCTTAGTGGAAAAGTTCCCTTCTCCGAGAGGGAATTTCACCATGCTCTCGCTCGATTGAAAATCACTCCCGTAATCATGACTCTCCGGATCACGAAATCTTCAAATATCGTTTAGGGCTTATAAAAGTTGTCGATAGGGAAATTCGCGGTATTGATTAAGAATCGACGATAATAGCGCCTACTCAAGATCACATTGGGTCTAGGCCGAGACGATTAGATAAGCCGGTGTTGCAAAATAAACCCATATCTATATGGTCCGGGTAGCTTTTATAAACACCTATATTTACCGCATAACGATGACCACTTAGACATCTTTTATTATTTACTGATCATACCACCAGCCAAATCACCAGAATCATTCCCTTCGTTTATCAGAGTTGCCTCCAAAAAAAATCTTATCGTAGTTTGTATCGAAGGGGTCAGATAAGATCTGTAGACGAACTATGTAACTAATCACTATGACAGGCCACAAAATCAGTCCGAAAATAAATATATCTGAAGAAATAAGAAATAAGGACCTGCACGCACTTTGAAGTCTAGGGTTCCAGTTTTGGAACTGTAGTAATTTTATAATCAATCATAATTGCGGTATTTTGTTTTTACTCGGACCTACAACCATTAACTGAAATCAGTTTAATGAACTCAGATTACAACCAAACTGATGTGAGAATTATACGTTCCATAATGTAATTTCTTGGTTATCAACCTCTTTTATTGTGACTCAGACAATTTCATGGTTACTTTATTTGTTGACTGCTTTCCATTTGCCATTGGGCAAGCCAAGAATAAATTTTGTCTGGTACAGAAGGCTTATCGACAATTTGATTTGAAACGTTGAAGTGATTGATTAGTTAAAAAAGCTGTTTGGCGCTCTGAAGTTGTAACTGCCTATTTGTCATGGTTATTTTAGAGAATTTGAAAAGAATTCCTTTGCACCCAAAAAGCAAAAGATTATAATTTTATTTACATTTTTTAACTATCAAGGCTTAAAGCTTATTTCTTTGGTGACTAGGTTCTTAAATAAAAAATATAATTTATAAATGGAGGTCCCAAAAAATTACTTCCAACCAAAAGGTAGTCAAAAGTTTTGGTTTACCTAAAGAAAGTCCTAGGTACAAAAGTTAATTTTTGATTATATAACTATTAAGGACATTTATTTGGCGACTAAACTCTAATTATTTTTAGAAATCACTTCCAAGCAATTCCCAATCGAAAGTAAAATATAATGTTTCTAGGCACATCTTAACTTTTTAGAACATTAGAACCAAACGGAAACAATTCTTTATGCGTGAAATAAGGGATATAATTGGAAATATCTCTACGTTTTTTTTCAACTATAAAAAACCCTACAGAGGTGGTCTAATTAGAAAGATTTCCACTCAAGAGTGGCTCCCGAGATCTAAAGATGACCGGCGGGGACATTAATGGAGTGCATCTACGAGGTTCCTTCCGCATGACGAGCTACCCCAATGTCGAACGACGAATGCCGCCCCGATATGACAAACAATCAGATTACCAGACAGGTGTACGTACGTTTTCAGACTCGAGTGAAGAGTTGCCTATATAGTGCGCATATTATCAATTTCCAAATGGTAGTCGCACTCGTTTACCGTACACAATCTAATCGGCACTTATGCGATTAATTAAATAGCCGTTCGAGTTCCTTTTCCCAGGAACTAGTCCCGATGCAGTGCAGTTAAGTGGGTGGTGGCGGTGGCGGTGGCGGAGATAGTGAAAGCCGATCCGTTCTGAATCGAGGCGCGAGTAAAACTGAGAAATGGAATTTAAAATTCCCAGGCGGCTGGCCGTGTCCGCTCGGTGCCAATCGAAGCCTGATAAAGCTTTATCAGGCCATAAAGCCGAGGGCGGGAACAATCGGTTCTCTCATCGCTGGTCTGGCCCACGTGCAAATCAAATTTTGGACATATCTCAGAGCAGAAAACCTATGGCTTATCGGACCTCTTTGTTTTCCCCGTGTGGAGAGTGTCCGAGTGGCTGAGTGGAGAGTTCAGGCGGAATAGCAATGACTACACAAAACAGACAATAAAAGAACGCGACAATGACATTATTATTACGATCTCTAACCCCCTTCCCCACCGCCCCCCGTCGACGACCCCAAGCGATTAGAATTGTAAGCAAGTGAATTAGCAGAATGTGTAGACTACGGTGCCGCATGTGGGCAGAGGGTTGCCACCACAGTTGCGGATCGCCTAGGTGTCCGTCTTGATGTGCAGGTCAGGATCGTTGGCATTTTGGAGTATCCTGTTCTGCCCGATGTTCAGTATCATGGCCATGCCCATCCAGAGTAGTATAAGGATAATCAAGCCCACGAAAAGGGACTGTGCTACGGTCGGGGTCATAAACATAGAACAGCTCCAGCAGGGTTTCACCTCGTAGTTCAGATCCATACCATTATCCTTATCTGCAAAAAGTGATAATTAGATATCTACACTATCTGAATTTTATTATTTGAAAATATTCTTATTTTGTGGCCCATTGTTATTGTGAGTCAATGGTTCATGAAAGATAACGATTGTTTAAAACCGGATATCATATTAAAGGCCTGATATCTGTTTATTTTCTAACCAGATAAACCACTTACCTCGCCAAAGGATGTCCAGGTAAAAGTCAAAGAACGTGAGGATCTCCGTGTCCGCGGCATAGCCCGTTATGTCCGTACAACAGAGACTGAATTCAAAACCGAAGAACACGAGATCCCGCAGATAGTGCGAGTTGTTGCCGAAGATAATGCGGGTGAGGAACCAATTGCTCTGCGAGGGAACCAGCTCTACGAGTAGGGGACCTCGGTTTGTGTCCATCACCAGCACGATGCCTCCGTAGATGTCTCGGCCGTTTAGCAGGCCCACCTGAACTTCCTCCCTTCCGTGGGGAAGGACCACGTCCGTTCGGTTGTAGCGGTTCCAAGCTCCCGGCCGCTCCTTCTTGGCCCACAGGATATTACGGAATGATAGGATGACCATGTCGTGACGCAGAACGGTCATATTGTCGACCAAGCTGTAGCTAAAACGTTGCGGCATTTCACCAAATCCGAAATCGGTCACATTCGTCGATGGACCCAGGCTCTTTGATGGGTCCATTTTCAGGGGTGCCGGTCGCGTCTTTTGGGCCTGACGACGCCTGAAAGCCCTATCCTCCTCCGTGTAAGCCGTGTACACATGCACCACCGGACAGTCGCTGAACTGATAGGTTGCCATCGCCATGGCAGCGTCTGAAATAATCATTATTACTTTACAAATATAGCAAATTAAATCGTTAAAATATATAATTTTATTCCCTGAAGCTAAGAAATTGCATTGTTCTCTTCAGTTTAGCTCAATAATTTTAATAGTTCTGATATGTATTTAAGTTAAGCCATTTGATTTATAGTTTAATTTAATATTTGTATAAACTTGTTTCTTTAAAATTAGTTAAGCAATTTCTTACATATAATTATAATTATATTACCCCTTTTTGATATATCTTTTAAATTTATTTAAACTATATTAATACTTTCGATAATAGGTCTTTAAAAGTGGATTTTTGTGGATTTTCTACGACTATGGATAGGTACTTTTAGAGGGGTTAAGTTAAATTAAGTTTCAGAATAAGGGTTTTCCAATTTAATTATAATAATCCTACCGTGAGCAAGCACATTGCGATCGTTGAAGCTGAATGCGTGTATCTGGCCCTGTTTGCAAGGAAGCTCCATTTCCAGTTCCAGCCTCCTTATCTCCGTGATCACGGGATAGTGCCAGTAGATCTCTCCCGTCTTCCTACTAACCCGATCCACGGCCTTCAGAGGCTCCTCCACCTGGCTGTAGTAGTTCATGGGCTGGATCTTGCTCAAGTAGGGAAAGCACACATCGCAGTTAATGTCCTTGGCGGCTAGCTAAAATAACCAGGCGTTCAGAATCTAAATATACAGTATGCCTGATAAAATACCTCCGAGGCTAGGTAAATCACTATCATATTGCTCTTCTGCAAATTTGCTATTATCCTTTCAAACTGTTTAGTTATCACTGGGCGAAAGATACTCGTAGTTTTGGGTCTGCAAAGGGGTCGTATGGGGTAGGTATAATTATTTTTAGTTGTGCCAATAACTTACGTATCGGTACCCCAGATCAGAACCGGTGGTGAACTGGTAACTTTCGCGGAGACTAAGAGGATTTTAGTTACCAATACAAAACTTAATAAGGAGAACATCTTGAATATTTCTCTTGACTTGACTTGATAATATTATTTGTAGCTTTGAGCTAAGTTTTGAAATAAAAGTCCGGCCTGCTTATTTGATATGCTAGACCTAGTTAGGAAACAGTTGGATTTCATTATCTGCAGTGTTTATTTTACGCTAAATATTTTTTAAATTAATAAAAGAATTATCCCTTTATTATTACTCAATATTTGGTAAAAGTAGTTAACTAGTAAAAACAAGAGAGAACGCTATAGTCGGGTTGTTGTCCCGACTATCTAATACCCGTCACTCAGCTAAAGGGAGTGCGAACGCTGTGTCGGGTTGGTGTCCCGACTAATAATCGTAACTCAGCTAAAGGGAGTGCGAGGGAGATAGATATATAATTTTTGATTGCGTATAACTTTTTAATGAATGGTCCGATTTGAAAAATGTCTTCTACATTTCGATAGGTATAAATATACACAACAAAATTGCATTTATACTTCTCGGAAATCTTTAAAGATGTGGGCGCAGGACCCATTTTAAAATCGTTAGTGGGCGATTGTGGGCGTTAGAGGGGGCGTGGCGCTCGGCTAAAATAAACTTGCGCTGCGTAGGAAGCCAAAGAATATGTGTGGGAAATCTCAACCTTCTAGCTTTTGTAGTTTCTGAGATCTCAGCGTTCATACAGACGGACAGACGGACATGGCTAGATCGACTCGGCTAGTGACCCTGATCAAGAATATATATACTTTATGGGGTCGGAAACGCTTCCTTCTAGCTGTTACATACTTTTGCACGAATCTAGTATACCCTTTTACTCTACGAGTAACGGGTATAAAAATACACTACATTTCTTTAAAATTATTTAATTAGAAAAATACATTTTATAATTACGATCTAGCACTTGTTGCTTCAACATGTTGCCCGCGATTCAAAAGCATGCGTAAGCGACGGCAATAAAGTTGCAATTAAGAACAAAAAAAAAAAAAACAAATAGTGATAAGATAAGAAATGGCTTATCAAACAAAAGTCGGAGAGAGAGGCAAGCGGTTCTGGCCAGGTGGGGCTCCTCAGTTTGCTCTCGTTACCCATTTCGAATAGACGTTAGTGCGGTCCTAACGCGGCCAAGATGCCATCGAGCCAGGGCCACTAACCAAAGTAATCAATAACCAATACGAAAAGCGAGTGAAGTGAAGTGAAGTGAACACAACCGAATCCAAAATCGAATACGAATATGGCGCAGAATACGCGCAACTCCGATTTATCGCAGATAGCGGTCAATGCCAACAATATACCCGATGGTGGGTGACCCAAATCCCCCAACGATTCCCTATAATCTATTGAAAATTCTCTACCCCCAACCAGACAGCGTCGATTGCGGCATCAAGGGTCTGGGCTGGTGTCGCGGTCCCGGGTGCCAGAAATACGCCCGCCTGCGCACCTTCATCCTGGTCCTGGCCATCTCGGGAACCCTCCAGGGCGCCTGCGAATCCTACTTCCGCGTTTCGGCCAAACAGGCCGCCTTCCAATTTGGCTACAGTCCGCTGCTAGTCGGTGAGTAAGCGGCCTTATCGCTGAAACGGGAGAATGCCAACATGACCGGGGAAAGATAATTGAGGTGTTGGCCCGGTCCTACGTGGAGATTTCAGTTCAGCTATCAGTTTTGCGATATTCTTGACGATTGTATATAGTATGAGTATGGTTGCTGAGTACTTGTTACCCCTAGGTCGAATGGGAAACTTGGATGGTTTACTGTTAAAATATTACAATAATATTTGTTCTGCTTTATACATAAAAAATGTTTCAATTATAATATAAAATAATTTGGTATTATTATTACTATTTATTTTCCTATATAAATTCCAATATAGTTCTATAATAAACCGGAGAAACCCGAAATCTCTCATGTTCCAGTTCATTTAATCAACAAAGCTATATAAGAGGTACCTTTATAAATTCACAATGGTAAATCGTTTTTAGTGCTACTGGGGTGGGTAATATCTATTCGTCATCGTTTGTAGAGAGTCGCAATGCGTAATCGTAATAAGCTCTATTCACTTTCTGGAAATCGCCAAAGGAATTCTCTATCAACGGAAGTGGCTTTCCCTCAATTAAAGTGCGACTTTAGATATAGACATAACTTTGCCCACTGTCGCGTTACTCATACGTCATATCTCCGTCAGTGAATGGGTTAGATAAGGTTTACGCTTACCAGGGATTCACCAACGCATTTCTGCAGCACACCTGAGCGCTCTATTAATACGTTTTCTATTTTAAAACCCACAGACTGGCTGCTGGTGGCAAGTGGATTGTGCCAGGCGGTCTTTGCACTGGCCTTTACCTACTGGGCGGACGTCTATCATCCCATCAAATGGCTGGTGGGAACTCTGATGCTGCAGGCAGTCACCTGCGTGGTGGCCGTCATTCCCTCCATCATGAACTTGTGAGTAACTCGTAGCTGCTGTAATAACTTGTGTAATCAGAGGAAAGAACGTAATAAATAAATTTGTAATCGGAAGTTATGTCGTTAGAGCTAGAAAAAGTTTAAAGAGTTTTCGGAATTCATAAACATAAATTTTAACATTGGTACTTACAATTACAATATCTGATAACAAACTGTATAAATTGACACCTAAAGTCGTGTTTAAAAATTTTAGTTTTAATAACAGCAGTTCCATTAAATTCACGTGTTTCCGAAGCTTAAAATCTTTCGATTTGTTTATGTAAACAAAGCATCAATTTATTTATTGGTAAATTAAATGCCTAATGTTAGTAACCAAAATAAGTAAAGGTTTAACATAACAATTTTTGAATGATTCGTGCGATGATTGCGGTGGATCAAATAAAAATTAGTTATAAATTTACAGTTCATTGCTTTTGTCAGGATGTCAAGGACTTTTTTGAACCTAAACTTATTGATATGTTTTCCTGAATCTTTCGTCTTTATGTTGTCCCTTTTATTATTTTTTTTCTCAGAATTGTAATGAATAATTTCAAAGTTGAAGTTTACAAAGTACTTTTAACCATTTTATTAATTTTTGTATCATATATTTTATTTTATTTTATTTTATTATAATCATTAATTTTAAATTACAAGTTTTCATGCTACCTATCCTAATTCCCGACTAATTATTGCAGTGCCGAGGGCTACAAGGCGAAGGACGCCCTGCTGGATGCCAATCTGTGCGCCACATCGCTGGCGCAGTTCCAGCGACTCACGCTGACCGAGGCTCAGAGCAGCAGCCTCACCCTCGCGATGCTCTTCGTCCTTCAGCTGGCCCTCGGAATGGGTGGGCTGGCCTACTACACCCTGGGCGTGAGCTACATCGACGACAACTCCCTTTCGCAGGACAGTCCGGCGGTGATAGCGGCCGCCCTGGCAGCACGCGTCTTTGGCCAGCAGGCGGGCTCCTTCCTGGTCCTCGGCGTGGGTCTGACCAATGTGGGCTGGTGGCTGGGCTGGGTTATACTCGCCCCCTTCATATTCGTGGGCGCCGTACTTCTGGGACTCTTTCCCAAGCGGCTGCCCAAGACGGTGATCCACCAGGCCGCCCAGCGGATCATCGAGCAGTCGAATATGCGCAACTTTGGCAGCCAGTTCTCCACCTACCTGGATGACTCCGACTTCTGGCCATCGCTGAAGCGGCTCTTCAACAACCGCCTGCTGATGGTCAACCTGCTGAGCATCATGTGCGTGCAGAGTGCGGTGCTGAACTACGGCCTGCAGGAGGAGAGCTATCTGCAGAGCCGCTTCTTCCTGCCCTACAACGAACAGGATGGCCTGACGGCCGAATGGCGGTCCGCCTTCGTGTCCTACTTCCTCAAGCCGCCGGTGATGGCGGTGGGCATGCTTGTGAGTGGCCTGATCATCTCGAAGGCCCAGCTGTCGGCTCGCAAGATCACCGGCATCAATGTGGCCCTTAGCCTCCATTTGGTGGCCATTTTCGTGGGCCTCGTCTTCGTGCAGTGCGATGTGGGCGCCATTGCGGGCGTGGAGGGTGGCAAGTTGAAGCAGCCCTACTGCTCCAGCCAGTGCCTCTGCACCCCGACGGCCTTCATGCCCGTCTGTCCGGAGAACAGTGCGGTGACCTACTTCTCGCCCTGCTACGCGGGCTGCACCAAGGAGACGACCATCAACAGCTTTCAGCTGTTCGAGGGCTGCAGCTGCAGCGGGGATCAGTCGCTGAACTCCACCGGCCAGATGAGGGCCACCGCCGGGGCCTGCAGCGCCAACAGCTGCCAGTCGGCCATCATCATCTTCCAGATCATGAGCATTTCGGTGGCCTTTCTGATGGGCGTCGGTGTGATTGGCAAGACGCTAATCACCCTGAGAGCCGTTCTGCCCCAGGATAAATCATTGGCCCTGGCCTTTGAACTTATGATCGTGGGACTCTTTGCCTATGTACCAGTGCATCTTAGCTACGATATTGTCACCCGTAAGTAGAGTTAATGCATTAAAATCAGCAGAGGCACGGGATAGGCGAATTCTCTGCCGCTGCGCTGCTAGCGTTTCGACGCTCACGTGCGCTGTAAAGCAGATTAAAATCCCTTATGAACTAATATATATCTCTAAATGTAGGTTCTACCTGTGTCTACTGGGCTCCCAACTACGAGCGCTGTCTGCTGCGAGAGACGCCCAAGCATGGCAACATCCTGGACATCCTGACCGCCTCCTTGATCCTGGCCAGCGTGCTCTTCGACATTCTCGTGTACATCTTCGCCAAGGGTTTGAATCTGTACAACTGCAAGGTGACGGACAACAACTACACGCCCTCCCTGTACGCTCCCATTCCGCACGAGGATGCGACCACGTCGCCCAGTGCTCCTCGCGGCGGCAGTCCAGTGACCACCACCACCACCTCCTCGCCCATGCAGCGCCGTGATGCACAGGCACAGGAGCCTCATCCCGCACAGACGGCGGTCTTCAGGAATCCCAGTTCGGTGACCACTTCGTCGGGCGGAGCCCAGAGCATTGTGGAGCCCAACGAGAGCGGGGTCACCTATGCGCAGGTGGTCTTTCCGCCGGACAGACGCAAGCCGGATGACGGCAGCACCAGTCCAAAGCGTTTGGCCGTCCCGGCCAATGTGCCACTGCACCTGCTCTCCGAGTCGGATGTCCGCAGCCAGCTGGGCAACCTGAAGTCCTTCACGGCTCCCAAACAGGAGGCGGACCGGGGCCAGGATACGGTGGACACCGACGATGTGGTGGTCACCCAGCCACAAGCGGTTGTTCAACCGCAGGTCCAAGCAGTCCATCCGCAGGTTCTGGCGGAGATCCCTCCAGCTAGCAGGGTGGCACAAGCGAACCAGCAGCCGCATCCCGATGACGCCAGGCCACAAAGTCCAGAAACGGACTTCTGAGGAGGCCCCTCCAAGTATTCTAAAGTGTTTATACCACATTCCTTAGCCTAAGAACGATCCAATGTGCCAATTCAATTCATTTGAACAAATAAAGTTATCTTTCATCCCATTCAAAAAGTTAACAAAATATGGTGTATTGATGAAAAGGATCACATCTTGCAAGATTTTAAATGCATTTCAAATGGATTGGGAATTTGTTTGATCCTGCTGGCAGAGTTTTGAAATATCTGTTCCTGGGAGAAATCCCGTCCAGGACATAATAGTACGAAAAGGCTCTTTATTGAGATGTGTTACGATCCGAACATTGCTCCTCTTTCCATGGATGGCATCCACCCGACGTCCTCGCAGGTGATCTAGTACCATCTGGCCACGAGTGTGGACTCCGGCTAATTCCACTGTGGCATGGTACTCCAGCTGCTCGGCAATCATCGCCTCTGGGAAAAGATAGGCAGCTGCGAGAGCGGCGTCGGGCTTGAAGTATTTCGTTCTTTTATGTGCCAATATCGCGTATCTCTCCACTCTGGTCAGCAGTTTCAGGAAGGGATGGTCCACAGACCCCAAGACATTTAGCCTCCAATCGATTGGTAGACCAAAGTTGTTTTCGACACTGGGTTCCCAAGGAAGAATTAGCGCTGGTTCCTTCAATCGCTCCAAAGTTATGTGAGCCGCCTCGGGATCCATCATGAAATTAAACTCGGCACACTTCATGACATTTCCGCGGCCATAGATATTTCCCCCCATAATGAACACCCCACCAATCTTCTCTAAAAACGCATTACCATAGAGGTTTATGCAGTTGGCAAAGTTGGTAAGCGGTCCACACAGCAGAAAGTCCACTTGTTTCGGATTCAAGCAAACCAACCGGTACATTGCATTCACGGCGTGCTCCTGCTGCAGTTGCTCCTGCAGATCACTCACATCGGGATAGTCGCCTAAGTCATTTAAGCCATCAATGCCATGGACGCGAGATTGGTCCTGCCATGTTCGAGGTATTATGGGATTGGCACAGCCCCTAAAAACTGGAATCTATTTGACGGAATAAAATGGAAAAGAAAATAGAATTAACAGTTTACCATATTGAGTATCAAAATAAATCATCTGAATGAACGGGATTTCGAAACTTAAACTGAAGATTATTATATAACACTTAATAAAGTACTTTTCAATACGATGTATGTATGTTAGCTAAAATTTTAGACTTACATCCCGCCTGTCCAGTAAGCTGAGGATTCTCAGGGCGTTTTGGGATCCAGTCTCCACATCCGTATTGCCCTGGACAGACGTGATTGCAACTACCTTACATCGTTTTCCTCCAGGTAGGGTTAATAGTTCTCCCCTTAGTAAGATGGCCATGGCCCAAGCGTCGTCCGATCCAATGTCGCAGTCGAAGACCACCAAGCGCTCCAAAACTTTTGCGTCTTTGTCCATGACTACCACAAAACTAACTGCTAAACATTGCCATTTTATATGAATTTAGTTGCAGTTTCTATCACTTACAGTTTTGATAAAGGCTTTTTCTGCGGTCGAAAGTGTAGAAAGCTATAGTATAGAGCAGCGGTCGGCAGCGCCCTATTAAGTGAGCATAGGGTTTTGTTCTGCCCAGCCGCTGCTCGCTCCCGTGTACTGTAGAACCCCGGTCTGCACACAAACTCTTATGATCTGCCCAATGCAATTTACTCATACAAATATTAAACAAAATGTTATGGTATGTGTGTGCCGACCGCTGCTATAGAGTATCGCTAGTATTTCGCTAGGTATAATACTTTTATGCAAACTGGGTTATTTTCTTTAGTTGCACTTAAAAACCGAAAATAAATTCACAGCATATATAACAAACGTGTATTTTTATTTAATCCAATTTTTTTTATTTTTAGTTTGGTTGGATTCTGTGAATCATATTATTTGCTGGAAATTCCCAGAATCTCATTTTTTTGATTTAATTGACATTCACGCTTGGGGAATTTCAGGATTTTGATAACAAACATTTTTATGACTTCGTCCTCTTATCAGCATTATTCTAGTCTTCTTGCTTACTTCAACAAAGAACAAGATTTCAGTACGTTCTAAAACCTATCTTCAAGTGGTTATACTTAATCAGAATGGTGTGGCCTGCAAATTTTTTCCTATGCTCGCTCATTGTCCTTAATTGCCAAGGATCGTGGGCAGTTAGTCTACCGGACCAACTCTATCGCAATCAACTCTTACTAAATAAGAAGGTGGATAGGATACAAGCAGAGCAGCAGGCCACGTTTATCACGAAGAAAGACTTCGAGGTGAAAATCCAAGCGGGTCTACTGGAACTACAGAGAAAGATGGAAGTCCACCAAAGCAATATGGAAGGTCAAGTTCAGGCGTTACAAAATCAAGTGCAGTTGCTTTTGACAAACAGAAATCAAGGAATTACTCAGGAAACTAGTTTCAATAACCCTTCAAATATCCCGCCGAAGTTCGAAAAAATCGACTCTAGGTATTTTTACATAGAAAATGAAATTAGGCTAGATTGGACTGGAGCTGCAAACACCTGTAGGCAAATGGGAGGCTACCTGGCTTCGATCAAAAACAAGGTAGATCTAAATGCCATTGCTGCGAAACTCAAAAAGGATACTAATTACTGGCTTGGCATCAACGATAGGGACCATGAAGGCGAGTTTGTATCTGCTGTCACCGGTAAGGCAGCTACATATCTGAACTGGAAAATGTTCGAGCCCAATAACAATTATGGAATAGAGCACTGTGTTATTTTGCATAACGGACAAATGAATGACGCTTCATGTGATTATGCTACCTTTTTCATTTGCCAAGCTGATGACGAAATATAGGTCAAATAAAAACGGCTACCTATAATTTGAATAAAATAAAACTACTGAAAATCAATTTAAATAAAATAAAATGATAGTTCTGGATTTACCAAATTTAATATTTACTTTAAATATTTAATAAAATTTGCAACGTAAATAGTTTTAATAAAAACAAAGCAAATAAACAAATTAAAAAAGTATTTTTTTTAACTAGTTAACTTTTTTGTCCATGCCCGAAGTGATACATTTTACACAAGTTTTCTATTGGCATGTGTTGTTACCAGATTTCACTATTTATCACAGGCTAGTCACCTTTAATATTAAAATTTTAATACCCGCTAGAATTATATCTTATTGCATTGATAGTTGTTTTTACACTAGGAAAATATAATTTAAAGGCAACTATCAAGAACACCTAACCTTTTATCTTTTTAATGACTGTTTTCTTGTCGTCACCTTAGATTTATTGTGATCTGATACCCTGAAGGAAAATAATGGAGATTGCTGAAATTCTAATAGTTTGAGTTGAAGGAAATAAAGAATAAGATACATTTTGGGAGTGAGTTTATTCCTGCTTGCACAGCTTTGAAATATCTGCTCCTGGTAGAAATCCCGTCCAGGACATAATAGTACGAAAAGGCTCTTTATTGAGATGTGTTATGATCCGAACATTGCTCTTCTTTCCATGAATGACATCCACCCGACGTCCTCGCAGATGATCTAGTACCATCTGGCCACGAGTGTGGACTCCGGCTAATTCCACTGTGGCATGGTACTCCAGTTGCTCGGCAATCATCGCCTCTGGGAAAAGATAGGCAGCTGCGAGAGCGGCGTCGGGATTGAGCCATTTCTTGATGCCACGAGGCTCCATCATTGCTCGCTCAACTCTGGTCAGCAGTTTTACAAAGGGGTGCTCCACAGACCCCAAGACATTTAGCCTCCAGTCCAGTGTCAAATAAAAGCTGTCTTCGACACTGGGTTCCCAGGGCAGAATTAGCGCTGGTTCTTTCAATCGCTCCAAAATTATGTGAGCCGCCTCGGGATCCATCATGAAATTAAATTCGGCACACTTCATGACATTGCCGCGGCCATAGATATTTCCCCCCATGATGAACACCCCACCAATCTTCTCTAAGAAGGCATCCCCATAGAGGTTAATGCAGTTGGCAAAGTTGGTGAGCGGTCCACACAGCAGAAAGTCCACTTGTTTCGGATTCAGACAAGCCAACCGGTACATGGCGTTCACGGCGTGCTCCTGCTGCAGTTGTTCCTGCAGATCACTCACATCCGGATAGTCGCCCACGTCCTTTAAGCCATCGATGCCATGGAAGCGAGATTGGTCCTGCCATGTTCGAGGTATAATGGGATTGGCACAGCCCCTAAAAACTGGAACCTATTTGATGGAACAAATTGAAAATATTACTAATTTTGATACCAAGAAAAATATTACCACACCTAGATACAAAAGGACATATAAAAATAAAATCATCACCTTCAAGAAAGAACAGTAAGGGGTTTACTTTCCGTTCAAATATTAACAATGTTTACTGTGGCTATATAATTTTCTTTTTATCGCGACATTAACACTTTTATGTAAAACTTGATAATTATTAATTGAAAATGTGTATAAGGTAGAAACTTACATCCCGCCTCTCCAGTAAGTTTAGTATTCTCAGGGCGTTCTGTGTGCCATTCTCCACATCCGTATTGCCCTGGACACAAGTTATCGCCACCACCTTGCACCGTTTTCCTCCAGGTAAGGACAACCGTTCTCCCCGTAGCAAAAGAGCCAAGGCCCAAGCATCATCCGATCCAATATCGCAGTCGAAGACCACCAAGCGTTCCAAACCTTTTGTGTCGTTGTCCATGACTGTGGACAGCACACGGCTAGTCACTCGCTTTATATATAATTTCAGTTGATAACATGTTTGATAAAAGAATATTTTGCGGTTATTCACATTAAAAATAAAATAAACAATAGAGAATAGTCGAAGCTTTGGCTATTATATTCGCGTTACTCACCTAAATGGAGTGCAGCAAAGCGACAGTTTCCTCGATTTTCTCCTGACTTTATAAAAATATTAATGAATAGAGCGACCCGAAATAAGGACGTCTTCATTTGTTGAGTTACTATTTCAAACTGATTTCTTTATTAGTATTCAACTCTTTCGTAGCTAACATGAGAATCTTATTTTAATTATCTAATGACCCATGCAGACATACCTGCATATCTTTGGATTTTATAGTGCACATCTGTTATCGCCCTTCTTGGGACATTCCATAGTCGGCTTACAATTTATGACCTCATTGTAAAATACGGCTTACACAAATATATCTATAAAACGTGTTCATTAGGGCGGTCCAAAAAATGAAATTCTTTTCTCACCCCTTAACATGGTACATTAAAGTATGCAAAAAATGTATGTGAAAACAAAAAAATTTTTTTTTTCGAGATTTAGACCATGCGAAACGTCTTCAAAGTTTGCTTTAAAATTACTCATACGACATGTATAACAGTTCGAATTTGGTCGAAAAAAATTGCTCTCCCATTTCTTGTCTTGTCAAATTATAAATTTCTTTGGAATAATTGTTAAAAAAAAAGGAGAGCAAAACATCAGCTGAATTGTTGTTATCTGTGCCACCTTGATCAGAAAAACTTTTTGATCGAAGGCAACACTGCGTATGGGTGATAAACTTTAAAACCAATTCGCAGACCCTAAAACATGATTTTTTTAAAAATTGTCTTTTGGTATACCTTGAATACCACAATGCGCACCGTATACGCGGGTGAGAGTAGGACCTTAAAAATTTCCATACAAATGTGGACCGCCCTAGTGTTCATGTTTCAACATTCTGCCAAGGGCCAGCAAGATTAGGTGTGTCGTTTTCAAATTTGACTTACAATCTATACAATTTGATAATATGCAAAAACATTAATGTTTTAAACATCTTGCAATCGACCTCCAAACGTTATGGTTTACACAAATATATAATAACAAGAAAGGAAGCTAGCCTCGGCCAGCCGAAGCTTATATACCCTTGCAGATAAAATAAATACCTTTTTAAGTTGTCAGAAATCAAAACGCCTTTTTGCTGCAAAGTTACAATGAATTTTCTTATATTTGATTGATTTTTCGTATGGGAGCTTTAAGATATAGTACTACCTGCAATAGAAAGACGACTTTTGGGAAAGTTTCATCGCGATAGCTTTAAAACTGAGAGACTAGTTCGCATAGAAACGGACAGACGGACATACGGACATGGCTAGATACCTCGGCTATTGGTGCTGATCAAGAATATATATACTTTATGTGGTCGGAAACGTCTCCTACACTGCGTTGCAAACATCCGACTGAAATTATAATACACCTCTGCAAGGGTATAAAAAGTGTTCATGCTTGAACAATAAACAAATTTACTTAAATGCAACATACGCTGAAAACTAGAGATCTTGAAAGCTATAAGAGCTTGTGTTTTCGGATTTTAATTTAAGATTGTAGTGTTGTTTGCGCTGACCAACTAAAAAAGATATTTTGTTGCAAAGTGTTAATGCTTTGGTTTGAGGTTTGAGCTATATTATTTTGCGGTCAGGGTGACACTAAATTCTTATCTATAATAGGCTTAGCCGTGACCTACAGCGTAGCCTTAAACTTATCTTACACCCAAAAAAAAAGTCATAAAAACGAAATTATTGTTACATGATTTCTACACTATTAAGTGTCAAATTTGCATCAATAAGATGAAATTGAAACTTTCGGTATAGAAATGAATCTACAAAATATTAAGGTTATAATATTTCATACGACATTAATACTACTGAGTATAGAATTTGTATTATTTAGTATTAGGTCAATACCAATTTTGTATACTACATCTTGTATATTTTTAATACAACGCTTAGAGAGTTAACACTTTTGATTTTTTTTTTGGGTGTATAATAATGAGTAGCAAAAATTTCTTCTTACCACGTGTGCGAGCATCTCATCAATTATTTCATAGCCTTCGTAAAATTTATAACGTTTATAAATTTTACGACATGGTTCGACATGTGGCGGAAGCCTTTTACATTTATCTCACTATTTTGGGTCTACTTTTGATAAGATTTATATTGCAATATTTCGTTTATAAAGCGGAGCGCAAAAGTGGTTTAAACTATAGTTTTCGACGCTTGCCAAAATGTCTACCACGTCCATTGAAGGCTACCAGCTCGGCAGGATTCTGATTGAGGGAAAGACCAAGAAGGTGTACGACCTGCCCGATCATCCGGGACTATGTCTGCTGCTCAACAAGGATCGCATCACAGCCTTCGATGGACTCAAGGCCCATGAGCTTCGGGGCAAGGCGGCAATCTCCAACACCACCAATGGACTGGTTTTTCGGCTACTCAACAAGGCGGGAATTCGCACCGCTTTCGTGGATCAGTGTGGCGAACAGGCCTTCATAGCCCGCAAGTGCCAGATGATACCAATTGAGTGGGTGACTCGTCGCTTGGCCACTGGATCCTTCATCAAACTAAATCCCGAAGTGCCCGAGGGCTATCGATTTGCGCCTCCCAAACAGGAGACTTGCTTCAAGGACGACGCTAGTCACGATCCCCTGTGGTGCGACGAGCAAATCTACGCCTCTAAGTTCAAACTGAATGGTCTAGTAATTGGCCGAGATGAAGTGCAGCTGATGAGACGCACATCCCTTCTGGTCTTCGAGATCCTCGAGAGAGCTTGGCAAACGAAGAACTGCACCCTCGTCGACATGAAAGTGGAGTTCGGCGTGGACGATGATGGAAACATATTGCTAGCGGACATTATAGATTCCGATACGTGGCGCATTTGGCCAGCTGGCGAGAAACGACTCATGGTGGATAAAACCGTCTATATAAATCTGACGGCAGTAACCGATAGTGATTTGGACCAAGTGAAACAAAACTATTCCTGGGTGGTGGATCAATTGACGTCTATGGTGGCTCCCAAGGATCATCTGGTGGTGGTGCTAATGGGAAGTGCTTCCGACACTGCACATGGCTTACAGATTGCATCCCGCTGTCGGTCATTGGGTCTGAATGTACAGCTCCGCGTGAGTTGCGGTTTTAAAGATCCTGAGGAAACGCTGCGCATTCTCCGGGAATACGAAGCGACAACGGGTAAGCTGGTTTTTGTGACCGTTGCTGGGCGATCAAATGGATTGAGCTCCTTGCTTTCGGGCAACACCAGTTGTCCAGTGATCGATTGTCTGCCACTTCAGTCCAAGAGCAGCTTGAATCTGGGCTATGATCTCCATCCGGAAGCAGCCGCTCTACACACGGCATCCATTCTGGGGCTAGATAACTTTATGGTTTGGTCCAAGCTGCGCGTCAAACAATTAAACAATATAATTGCCCTTAAAAAAGCCGATACAGATCAGCGACAAGTTCGCGACTGCTGAGAGAAGCCTTAATATCTTATCTCAATTATATTAAGCCTATCTCACCTTCAAGTGTAAGCATCATCATGTATTGTCAAATTTTAAACAACTTCTTTTGATCCAATTTTTAAACATCGTATCCAAATAAACAGGGTTTCACATCATAGATACGGTATATATCGGATACACTTTTCTTAAATTCATTCCTATCTTAAACAGCATAAACCAAAGTTGGATTTCATCTACAATTTTGCTAATTAAAAATTATATAGCATACTTTTGGGATGTTATGTAAAGTAAAGTAGTGTAAAATAAAAGTTGGTAGAAACGTAGTGTAGAAAAAAACGCAAATTAAAAACATAGGGCATAAGTAAAATTTAATTTTTTGTAAATAAAAACAACATTAAAAAAATATATTAGAGTATTGCCTTCCTTCTTTTAATTCTTTTAATTTTAATATATGCGCCAGTCAAAATCGCACTTCGCAGCTTCTATCTCTCTCTAAGTTTTTCTAAATGAAAAACGGTTAAATTAAAAGTCAACTGACAATTTTATAAACAAAAATAAACGCTTAAAACAAATGTTATTGAAAGAAGAGGTTTGAGAAAATTTAAAACAAAAGAAACGAAGTCATTCGGTTTACTGTAGCTGTAGATATAGATGTGCAAGCAGAGGGTACTTTTTAAAACATGTTTTAAAATATTTTTTGCGAAATCACTTTGGTTATGTACAACATGCGCTCCAAATCACATCTGATTTTATCAGATGAAGGGATGACAAACAAAAATCAAAAGGTTTATATTAATATCCAACAAGAATTTTGACCAAAGAAACCTTCATTTCTTTGTCATATACTGTCCCAGAAGTGTTTCTTCTGAATTTTGAAATATCTAGAGACCAAATAAGGAACGTCTTTGTTCCCCCCAATCATCAGTTCTTTATCCGCATGCTGATTTATGATTTATTTATTTATGTACCTATTTCCCAAGTTCTGCAGATGCATTTGATAAAAAGTCATAATTATTTTGGTTTTCAATATAATTTTATTTTTTCCTTTATTTTAATATAGGTTGTTTGCAGTTATTTTGTGTAGATTTATTTTAATTATTTTTGCGCTTACAAACTAATTAATAAATTAATAGTTAGCTTAAAAAGAGGCTTAAGTCGTAAAACTCATAGGAGAAAAACTAAACATGAAACGCATGAAGATGGTTCTTTGAATTGAATAGGAAAATCATAAAAGGGAAATACTTTCAACAGAATTACTATGGGTTCGGGGGATGGCATTAGTTTGTCCGTCCGTCCGTCTGTCAGTCTAATCTGTCCTTCCGTTGAGTTTCGCCCCGTAGACCGCTAGTTTTGGGCACTTAAGTTGGAGTATTATTTTTGGTTTCACTTCACATTTTATTCTTCTTTCATTTTGGATGTTCCTCACCGATGTGGGACATTCGCTTTTCTTGTATTATCCACGCTAGCCCTAGACAATTTGAGTCTCCGCAGGCTGCATTATGTGTGGCATTCTGTCTTTGGGGCAGGATCTTATGCCCTGCCCCAAATGAGTGAGTGCATTTGGGCACTACAAAACTTGGCGTCTACGGGGCGGTCAACTTCGGACAGGGACAACTCTCTAGAGCTTTGCCCTTTTGGTTATTCACACTTCCCTCTCATGGCTGCAGCAGTTCAGCTTCTTTTATGGTTCATCTTCTGGGTTTGTCGGTCGTAGAGTGCGGGGTGGGGAACAAAAAAGATAATGTGGAGAAAAAATCCTATAACAGATTTCATATAAACATCGAGGAATTTTCAAACTAAGGTTAATGCAAAATTATCGACTAAATAATTATAACAAAAATAGGACGAGTTTTTCTTCATCTTACAAATTTAGCTTTTCATCTTGTTCTTTGCGTATTTTCATATTCTTTGCATTGGATCTTTATCATCGTGATTTTATAAGTTTGTTCTCAATTTTAGTTTTTAGTTTTACACAATATTTACAGATATATTTGGGTTCTTCGTTTCGCGAATAGTTTAAGAGTTTAACAAACGATTTTGATAAGCTTTCATTTTGTTTGGTTGTTGTTCTTTATCTGGTTTTCGAATAGCTTTACAATCTTTAAAAATATAGCTTGAGAATATGCTAGAATCACTACAATTTTCTACGTGTTTTGTTATCGCTTTGTTTAATTTGAAACATATTCATATTTATGAGTTAGTTAATATTTGCTGTGTGTGTTTTTTTTTACAGTAAAAGTAAGAATTAAAAGTAAATTATAAAAATAGCAGCTGTCCTTTCTTGTTTAATTAAATTGTATTTGTATTTATCGATCAATGTTGAATATGTTTGGAAATTTGAATCCTACTTTCCTGTCCTTCGCTTCTCTGCTTTTGCTTTTGTTTTTTACAATTTACATCTTATGTCTCTGACTGCACAATGCAAATTATCACATAATTTTCATTTCCCTTCTGTCCTCTCTTTCTTCTGTGTTTTTTTCCCTGGCACTCTATTACACTTTATCGATTTGTATTTATTCTGTTGTTCTTTCTCCGTTGGCCAAAAATTCTACTTTCCTCAAGTATTATTTTGCAGCCAGTTTAGTGAGTGGTTTGTGTTCTTCTGGGTGTGTTTGTTTATGATTTTCAATTTTTTTTATTCGTAGCGTTAACAACGTGGAAAACAAACGGGTAAACAAAAATAAAAATTATTAAACAAAAAGTGGAGGCGCAGCAGCGCGATGTTAAAAAGAACTTCTACACTCATTTCTTGTTAACAGCGGACGTTAACAGCGCCAGCCGCAGTCGCTGTTAGCGTGCAGTCTATCTGTGTGTGAGTGTGTGTGTGTTTTATATGGATGTGTGTGTGTACATGTGTGTGTGTGGTCTGTATGTGTGTGTTAAACAAATATCACAATCGAGAAATTAACAAAACGGCGGCTGCAGCAGCTTCTTAACAGCCAGCAACAACATAACAGTCCTTAACCGCAGGTTAACCTACCACTAACATGAACTTAACATGTCGGTGGTGAGTCTGCCCCCGCTGTTGCTGTTGTTGTTGTTGTTAGTGACCTAATACTTTCGCTGCTCTCCTCGGCCCCGTCTCCTCCGGCTAAGAAAGAGACCAGGCTGAGTTTACATTCTTAAAAAACGTTCATTTTCCCCCACATTCTAGAGCGTGGGCGCTTAAAAAACAAACACTGTGTTTTTGGGCCACAGCACAGCTTAGGACATGGGACCGTTGGTCGTGGTTACCGCTGTTGCCGCTGCTGACGTCACCTGCTGCTGCTGCTCCACCGATACCGCCGCTGACTCGACTGCACTTCCGCCGTTCTCGGCGCTGCCATTGGGAATGATCGTTGGGATCACCGCGGACGCTGGACTGGTGGCCACTCCTGTTACCGCAACCGCACCAGCGGTCTGCTGCTGGCCACCCTGAACTGCCTGACCCGCGGCAGCCGGAGCAACGGCACTCTGTACCGCCGGCGCCGCTTGGATGGCGGGCGTGGCCGGGGGGGCGGCGATCTGGAGCTGCATCTGCAGCTGCTGCAGCGTCTCCTGCGGTATGTTCGACTTGAGAATGTTGTTCTCGAGCTCCAGCTTGTTGATCTTGTCCATCAGCTCGGATATGCGCTCCTTCAACACTTCCACCTCCTCGCGCACCGCTATCATGAGATGCGACTTGACCAGATCCTGAAAGAGGAGAGCAAAGAGAAAGTTGGCATAAGTAAGTTGTTTAACAAGGCAGTCGGTTTAGGTTTATAAATGTCAGTCCACTATTAAAAAGATGATACATTTGTACAATATTTATAGTGCATATTAAATTTATCGAGGGATTTATCTGCGGTATACAGTAAATTCCTAAGTAAACCCCTTTGTAATGCAAATCTCATCCATCAGTTATATTTACCCCACAGATTAACAGAGTGCCTCTGTTAGTTTAGCTCACCTAACATCCTGTTGCCACCTGTAAATGAGCTCAACATGGTGGCTCTGACTCATTGCAGAGATTTAACATTGCCCACGACTTTTCAGGCCATTCATAAATCGCATTTTGTGCCAGCGTCGAATGTTTGCCCAATGTGGCGTGTTCGCGTTACACATTTCGCTTTATTTGCTGTGCAAATGTAAATGTAAATGGTTCCCCGAAGAATCAAATGCTTTCGTGTCATTGTCAATGCCACAGCCGCAGAACACGTCATAGAGACCCCGAAACAAACCGAATCGAGTCGGCACACAACATCCACCATCCACGGCTCACCTGGCTGTCATGCACCTTGTGAAAATTTAATAAACCCATTAAAGAGGCAGCCGAATGTGAAAAAGTGGAATGGAAAACGCGTGCAGACGAATAGGATATAATCGCATAGGCGTTTGGTTCGTTCCTTTCTTTTTCTTTCTGTGCATTTAACGGCACGTGTTCAGGTGATTTTTTCCCATGTTTAATGTGAAATGTCAATAGACCAAAAGCCAGTGGGCGGAAAAAGGGGGGCCGGGTTCGGTTTTCGGGTAGGAAAAGGCTGCCTGCGGCAGTTCCGTTTCACGAAAGAGTTTTCTTTCTTTCTCTACTCTTCACTGCTATCTCTATAAATAGTCAGCTCGGATGCTTTCGTCGTCTTCACTTTCAACAATTTCTTTCAACATTTTCTTGTTGTTGTGCCCTCGTTTCGTTTTTCAGGCAACACAGAAAATACAAGTTGAAAGTAAAAATCTCACAAAGGAAACCCACAAAACCAGCAAAAGGATGTGAAATCCTAAATACATTTAAAGATTAAATAGATTTAAAGTCCAATACGTCACTAGGAAAAGTCGTCTCAAAGCCAAATTAAATAGTCAAAATAAATATCAAAAAATAATTAAAGAACTCTGAACCGCGCGAACATTTCGTACGCCTCTTACTCATTAGTCATACTTCAAATTCTATACGATATAAAGTGGGTATATATGTATATCTAAAGAGCATGAGCATGAGGCATGGAAAGCCATCGGAAAGTCGCATGTTCTGGCAGCAGTGCCAAAAACAATCGTAAGAAATACAATTTTGCACGTTTTTCGCCTGTTTCGAGGCGAGCTAATAAATAATTTTTATAAAAATAAAAAGCTGTATTTTTAGACCCACACACACAGTCCCTCGCTTGACCGATCAATAAGTGCAAAAATTACCAAAATTAGAAGTCAACGAAACAACAATGAAATAAAGATTTGATAAAACTCGATTCGAATTGAATCGGCGAGCGAAAAGACAACTGGAGACAATAGCAACCGCTTTAAGCAAATGCAAACCGGTTGATACCGCTTCGACTTGTTAACAATGAGGTGCAAAAAAGCACAGAAAACGAACGAGCACCGAATATATGGCATTTAAGGGTGAGGCCCGGGGGCCAAATCATTAAATTGTTGTTCAAAAACGAAGGCAGGTGTACCACAATTTCTGTTTTTCAACCATTCTTTTGCGCTCTATCAGCTTTTTGCACCATCTTAAGGGGATTTAAGAAAATCTCCGTAGATAAGCCTAGGGGTTATCTCCTAAAAAGATAACTTCAACTCAGGTAGGGGAATATTAATGCTAATTATACACACTCGAGGGGGAGATACACACACTCAGTCTGAGAAATAGAGAGAGACCTCTGCCCTGGAGAAGCGGGTTGGGTTGCCTTCTCAGGTCAGGTCACGCGCTTCTCCAGAGATAGCTCTTCTCTCCAAGTCTCCTGCAGTTCTCAGTTCGTTTTTTTTTCGGTTGCATTTCTCAAACAAATATGGCGGACACCGCATTGAGGTTTTTCGTTTTTTTTTGTACACTTGTCGGGGGTCCTTAGGTAGAAATTATACGCCTTTGTTATAAAGAACAAAGGACTCAACTCCTCTTCTTTCTTTTTGTTCAAAGCAAAGGAAGTGGTGTCTCATTTTTTTGCACTTAAGTTAGAGTAATTTCTCAGCGAAAATAAATTGACAAGTGACAGCACAAATAACGTTTCTTTTCTTTTTTCCTTTCTTTTTTTCTCGGCTGCCTTTGACGACATTGAAAAGTCGCCAGAAAATCGCCACCAAAACGCGCGCAGCCTCACAAAATACGAAATATACGAAAAAATCAATAGAATTGCATCTAGTCAAGGTAAACTGGGGTTTTTTTCGAGGGGGGTTTTTTGCAAGGTATACATACTTTTGCATTGGGCACCATCACATAGCAGGGGCTGTCGTAGCCCTTCTGCCAAATCTCGTAGAGCCAATTCTCTGGCTGGCGCAGCGACATTGTGCCCATCATATTTGGCTTTTGGTTTTTGGGTTTTTACGGGTTTAATACGAAAACGATATTTTTGGTTACTTTTTCGGAGACTTTCTTCTCCCACTCTCGCACTGTTCAAGTATTGTATCAGTTTCAGTTGGATCACAGTTGGTTTTAAAAATGTATTTCTGTATTTTCACTTCTTTTCTTTCTTGATTTTTCGTTTTTCTTGCCTTTTTCGGCTGTGTTTGTAGGTTGTATGGCAAAAGTTCAGCAATAACTGAATTCGCTGCTTAGCTTTTTGTGAGATTTACGAGACCGGCGCAGAGCTTTTGCGATATATATTCGAGCTTTTCTCGATTCAATTTACTGCCTTTAGCGATTTGCGTCTGCTTAAAACGAATTAATATAATTCACGAGTCTCTGGTTTGGCTTTTTGTGTGTTTTTTTAGTTGGTATATATAAAGTAATTGTAATTTTTTGTGTATTTTAGTATATAAAAAACTGGAGCCAATTTGTATTGGCGATGTGGCGTGTAGCGAGTTGAACTGGCGACTCAACGTCTGCGTGCAATTAGTGCTGATTTTATATGAAATGGCAGTGCCTTTGAGTGAAAGAGCGTAGGCTCCTCTCTCATTGCGCACTTTAAACCGCTCTCTCTCTCTCTGCGGCTCTCTTTCTTCTGTATCTGTATCTGGCCGAATGTCTATGGATATATCCATCAGCATTTGCCAGATACAAAGATACTCAGCTACTCTCTGTTTGTTTTGACGCGCCACTCTTTCCCCGTGTTTTCTCATCAATTTACAAAGACTTCCACTATTTATTCAATCCACATATATATATTTGGCTTTGGGCCTGCTCATTTGCCAAAATGTTTGACTGAATTTCCGAACGCCAGCCGGTTTTTTGTTATTTAAAAAATATACATATGTTTTTTTCAGCCACTGCGACGCAAAAACTTTATGACACTTTTGTTTATCACTCGCTCCGCTCACCAGTTCTTCTCGAGCTCGCTCTTTATTTTATTTTATTTCTTTTTATTTTTTGATGGGACGTTCTTGTAGATACTTTTTCGCTTGCCACGCGGTGGTTTTCGATTACTTCGGCATTTCTCTGGGATTGTGTGTGTATGGGGTGGGTTTTCTTACCTTTTGCGCATTGCGTTTTCACCCAACCGAATTAAGTCGGTTGAAGTAAACAGTAAACAAAATTCCTCGATAAAATGCGAGACTTTACATAATTATGGTGTGGAATTGGTAGGAGTTTCTACACCATTCAAAATCTAATTATAATTTAAGGGAAAGTCAAATGGATTTTTTACAAATCCCTATTTTTCATAGCTATACAAAAAATTCTTTTCCCATAAAATCCAACGTTTATTAGATTTATAATATTATGTAACCCCAGCCTTGACACACAATCGAACCCCTTTTTTTTTGGCAATGGCAAATTGCTAAAAACAAAAAGTTTTCAAGGGCTTAAAAAGAAGTAGAAAAAAAGACTAAACTGAAGAACCCGCAGAACAAAATGTATGAAATAAAACAAAAACAAGCAGAACATGAACGGAACGTATCGATTTCACGCGCATGTTGAAGGAAGCGTTTTCTGTCAATCCCCATACACGCCATATAGATTTCGATCTATATAGGAACCAACAATAAGCCTGACGAGCGGCATGCGACGCATCAACAACAAATTGTTTAACAAAAATGAAACAAACATCCGCGTTAAAAATTATAAAAGAAAAATAAAAGAAGACAATATTTTTAATAGCCGGCACCGGAGAAAACAGTAATTAAATGCACATTTAAATAAACAAATGGCATGCTGTAAAATAATATGTCAACAATCGTGGGTTGGTAGGAAGAGAAGTCTCTTAATTGCTAGGCAAACTGCGTAGCTGGGATCGAGTTGGGATTGTCATGGGTTGGGTCGTGGTGGGGAGTAGCAATGGGTTGGGTTTTTGGGGTGGTGGAGGGGAGTTTCGGAAGCTGAGAATGTTGAGTGAAAAGGGGCGTCTGTTTCAGATTTTTAGGGACCCTTAGGAGCACTAAAGATGTTAATGGAGAAAACCGATTCCGTATAAAAGGGATACAAGCACTAACAATATTTAAAAGCCCATTAATGGACTATGGAAGTCTTACCAGTTCAATATTTGTTAATACAAAAATATATAGAATTATTTCAAATACGTTGTAGTTAATATTAATCTACAAAATGCGAGAAATTTGCGTCAAAAAGAGCTAATCAATTCGGAAAATTCTAAAGTCATTCAAAAAACTTTCCTATGCGGCTGGCTTGTGTCAGTTCTAACAGTTTTTCTGTACACTCAGATTTTGCATGCATTTGTTGACGACTGTATATGTAAACAATGTTCATTAAAGTGCCACATATATTGCATACAAAATCAAAACAACAATAGCAATGCACATTCTTTGTTTCTGTATTTGTGTTTTGAATCAACAAA